AAGTGCTTGAAAATTTTTGAACACTTGAAAAACATCGGATCTTTTCTTGAGAAGGTAAATCCAAGAAAAATTGCTATAGTCATCAATGAAGCTAACATAGTATGTGTGTCGACCAACCGAGGTGGGAGCAGGACCCCAAACATCAGAGAATATTAATTGCAACGGTTGAGTGGAAACACTAGTAGATATAGGGTAAGATAATTGATGACATTTTTCTCTTTGGCAAGAATCACAAATAGTTTCAAGATTCCGCTCACCAACAAACGGAAGCTTATTTTTCCTAAGCAAACGTTCAACTAAAGAAAAAAAATGCATGTCCTAAACGATCGTGCCATCGTGTGGACGAAAGATTGATAGCACCACAAGCTTGTTTATTTGATTTTCTAAACTCCGGAATCAACGGGTAAAGCCCTCGAACACATCTACCTCGATAGAGAACTTTCTTCGTGGCCTGATCCTTGATCAAAAAGAAGAAAGGATGGAATTCAATGAATACATGATTATCAATGGTAATGCGATGAACGGAGAGAAGATTTTTGTTGGCACTAGGGACATGCAAAAATTTTCTAAGGTGAATCTTGCGAGAAGGGGTATGTATAACTGAATGACCTATGTGATTTATCCTCATAGCTACACCACTTGCCGTGTGAATTTGGTCTTTGCCATGATATTTCTCACAAAGAGTCACCTTCTCAAGTTCTCCCCTGAGGTGGTTGGTAGCACCACTGTCAAGTTACCAATTTGTATCAACACCATATGACCCGTCGGCGGCGGCAGCTACCTTGTCATCTTCATCAGAGGAGGCATCGTCTTCATCAAAACGATACCAACAGTCCTTGCCCGTGTGGCCCGGCTTGCCGCAAATCTGGCAGCGTACTGCATCAGGACGTGATCTGCCCGAGCCGCCGCCGCTGCCACCCCCGCCGCGACGGCCCCTGTTGTTGGCGAAGTTGGGACGTCCACCGCGAGAGGAGTTGCTGGAGCTGCCACCACCTTGCTTGCCCTTGTGTCGGGGAGGACCGCGAGAGCGTGAGGAGTACCCGCCGCGCCCGCGAGTGGCGGCGTTGGCCGAAGACTTGAAGCCACCGCCGGTGTTGTGAAACTGTGCCACACGCTGATCGAAGTTGCTCAGCATGGAGTACAACTCGTCGATGGAGACCGGCGTGACACGGGCGTCGAGGGCGGAGACGAGAGGTTGGTAGTCCATGTCCAGCCCATGCAACAGGTAGGAGATGAGCTCATCGTCCTGGATGGGCTTGCCAGCCGCGGCGAGTTCATCCGCAAGGCCACGCATATGAGCGTAGTATGCAGCAACCGATTGGGTGCCCTTCTGTGCATTGATCAAGGCAGTACGAATATTGTTTACACGGCTCAAAGATTGAGAGGAAAACATGTCTGCAAGCGCCACCCAGAGGGCGTGCGCGGTGGTGACCGTGGTCACCGCGATCAACACTTCCTTGGAGAGGTTGTTGAGGAGGTAGCCGAGCACTTGTTGATCTTCCCTCACCCAGATGGGATGGAGAGGATTGGGCGTCGACGACTCCTTGCCGTCCTTGTCCTTGGTGACGAGGCGGCGGGTGGGTTCCGGCATCGTTCCGTCGACGTAGCCGAAGAGCCCAGCTCCCCTTAGCTGCGGCGTAACCTGAGTTCGCCACAGGACGTAGTTCGTCCGGGAGAGCTTCTCCGTGACCTGACCGAGATTGCTTGGGGTGGCGCTGGAGGAAGACATGGCTTGGGACTATGGAGCGGCTAGGGTTTGGAAGAGGAGGCTCTGATACCATGTGCGAATAGGCGAAAGCGTCTTACCCATCGTGGGAGCGCTGCTGCGTGTTATATAGGCCAGGGGCGCACCTCTCTGGATAGCGCATACAGCAGTTTAGATTACAATCTTGGGAAGAAAGAAAGAGGTAGAGATAAAGATTCTAGTTAAGATAAACCTCCTTCCTAACTACCTAACACATATGCGCAAGTAATGTAATCCTCCTGCTACGCTACAACTTGTGTTTAACAATTTTCCCTTCTTCCAAGTCAAACAAGTATATATGCACATGTGACGATAAGAAAAATGAGAGACCATAATCAAACGGATATAAGTATGAAATAATAATGGTTGTAAACAAAAGGATCGAACTAACGACTGTATTGAATTTGTAGTGCCACTTGTTACCTAGGAAAATAGGAGCCACCGAAATTTTCTTTAGGAGAAAGAGAAGAGGAAGCAAACTTGAAGACCCATCACACGCACATACTGTTTGGCAGAAGCCATGAGTTTTTAAAATCAAGGAACCACCTACTCCTTGAATTGCTGCAAATTTCAATCTCTGAGCCACCGAACTAGTAGTGTGTAAAGTCCGGTCCGTACGTGCGCACAATTTCAAACACCAAGCTTGAACGGCACTTCAGCTCCAAATGAAAAAGTAGGGAAGTTGATTAAGCTTAGATTAATAAAAGCAATACGCTTTCTCTAGCCGAGTAAATGCAAGATGCAATTAGTGAGAATTTTAACATCGGCTCTGTTGCAAATGGACGGCGAGAGCCATGAACTGTTGCATACGGGGCAAGTAATAAGCAATTGAAAAATGAAGGTTTCAACGCATCGGGATCTAAAAAGAATGGTGGCACTAAATCCATGATAACTGTACCGGTAAGAGAGAGAGAGAGCACCAACGGGATCAGGTAGCCAGAACCTCAAAGACCGCCCCAAGCTGAACTATAGTACTCACGCGGTATTCTAGGCAAATGGTGCATCTAATTAACCTTGGATCACAGCGCTGTGCCTTTTCTTAATCCTCATGATGAGATTAGCCATGATTAAGGTCAATGCTCTTGCATTTGATTACTGTGTTGATATGTTGATTTCCCAAAGAATTCCATGCAAGTAGTCCACTACTCAACGTGCATGCCCTGTGGGAAACCTTGGATCTAGGGAGATATATCTAGTCGCAGTCCAACCTTTGCAGGTCCAGCCCAGTTCTTGATGATAGATCTCGCTGGCCAGCGAGCAATAATCATTAGTTTTATTAAACTTCTTTTTGTGAGTAAATTCTTTTTCTTACCATTCTGACTCCATACATTTTCCTGTGACATATACTGTACTTACATAACTACAGTACTGGCAAGTACGCCGCCAAATAAAATGGACTTCTTTCTGGCAGGAAATTCTGACTTAGACTGGGGGACACATGGGGCCGGCCGTCTTGCCCTCCCTCTCACCAAATCTCATTACATGGATCGAAGACATATATGCATGAGTGGTTATGACTGAACTTCCTCTGATGAACGGCCCTACAGGACTGAAATTTAGTCTGAAAGCGATTCCTTGCTTGACGACAGAGTCTCCCGCTCTATAATAGTGGGCTGAGACGACGCCGACGCCGACGACGACGAGGAGTCGCAGGAAGCTTCATCAACGCCGGAGGGGGACGCGCTCGACGACGTATGTAACACACAGTCCAGACGGACGGACGCGCGTCATTTTTGAATCCTATTCCACACACGTAAATCTGAGTCTCCTGTCCTCCGCCGATATATGTATTTTTCTGGCTCTCTGCGAGTCTTCACCAAAGAGTGCGGCTGTGGTTTGACATTTCTGACGATGCTGACCGCCTAATCAGGCGTAGGTTAGCACCGGCGTACGGCGTTTGTTTAAGCCAAAAATCTAGCTCGTCCAAACTGGAGAGGGAAGACAGAGAGAAGGTCCAGGCCATGGTCTAGCTTAGTAGCCTCTCTCTCTATATAAAGGCCATGGCAAAGCTGGTGCAGGGCTAGAGAAGAAAGGGTTGGAAGCCTAGAGAAGCTAGAGAGAGGAGAAGGACGTTTGTCTTGGACCAAGGAGAGATAAGCTTGTCTTCTGTGAAAGGAGATCGAGATGATCAAGGGAGACCAGAGGCAGCTTGGCAGCCATGAAGATCGGCTGAAAGATCAGGTTTGGGACTGTTTAATTACTTCTCTTGCTTTTGTGTTTGTGCTTTTATATGCTTCAAAGAGTTCTTTTGTGCTTGAGTGGTCATTTGTTTGGATAAGTATGGTAAGACTAGTGGTTAGGACTTGGCTGAGTTTCTCTCTTCTCTGGGATGTGCTTCTTGATCCATGAATGGAAGTCAGGGACTTCTCTTTCTGATCGATGTCAAAATCAATCAAGGGTGATCATCTTTAGGGACCACAGATCCTGGTGCTCGTAGAACAGTCAAATTAAACATGTGGATAAGCCCAGAAATGGATATTTCCACAGCTAGCGCTTGTCATCCAATAAATTCATGGTGTTCTTAATTCAATAAATTCATGGTTTTGCAGATGAGAGTTGATCATCGGGCCTCTGATGGCAATTTTTTCAAGTTCTTGCAAAACCAGTCAAGCGCAAAAGAAGAGGTACATAATTATCAAACAGGTTCAACAAACATAAACACCGCAACTTTTCGTAATTGGTTACATAAGGCAGGGTCTGGTACTACATATCCCCCCTTTTATTCTTTTTTATTTCAGAAGCGGCAGTAAAAACTATATATAACCTTTAAATTTTCTTAATTACCCTGAAATTTTCCTCAACTAATTCAAAAAAAAAACCTACATCTATTAGATATTTATATTTTCCTATATTATTGTCCATCTTCCTAGTTGCAAAACTAGTTAGCTCCAAGTAATCAAATACATGCACACCAAGCCAAGTAGCCAACTAACCATTATCATATGTGATTTGCTTCACCCATGAGTATGTAACTAATAGAGTGAATTCCACTTTTTACTCCTTAGTTATGCATTTTTGACACTAATTACCCTGTCGAATGAAAAATCATCAAGATTACCCCTTTTAAAAGCTTTGAAACCTTGTTTTTTTATGCGTGTCTATTGGGCAAGGTGTAAGGTGTTGACCAGAGTTTAAAAATATCAAGACGAGGAGGAGGATTTGAACATATGGGTAAGAGAAATCTGAACATGAATATCGATTATGCCCTCAGATCTTTACGCATTTTACCGTGCCACGTCGGCGTAACATGCCGGTACTATCTAACAGAAACAAGCAAAGTGCTAAACTGGGGTAAAACTGTGTTCAAAATCTTCTAAATGAAATATTTGGTAGAAGTTGCACTAAATAGGGTAATATGTGTCACAAATGCAGAACTACAGAGTAAAAAGTGGAATTCACTCTAACTAATAACAGGTCTCGCTGTTATGATGCTTTCATTGATTCAGGCTCAAGAAGACAAGATTGCGTCCACGAGGGCAGAGATGGGCGAAGTGAGAAAAGAGAACGAGAGGCTGAAGACGATGTTGTCATGGATGGTGGAGGACCATCGATCCCTTCAGAAGCAGTTCGATGTTTTCCACCAGCAAGGACGAGGCAAAAACCTCGCCGTGGGCTCACCGGAGCACACATCGCCCACCGACGGCGTCAAGGACCCCAGATTCTTCGCATTAGGCCTCGGAACGAGTGCGAGCACGAGCACGAGCAGGCAGAACTTGGGAGAAGAGATCAGGACCGGCACTAATAATCCAGATGGCAAGGGCGTCTCTCTTGGACTTTCATCAGGCTGCAAAGCTGTTGATGCAGCTGGTCAAAGTGAGATGAAGGTGCAACCGGATGTGCTGACGTTGAGCCCTGGAGGCAGCTCCGAGGAGGACGCCGCCACAGAGACGACAACAACATCGAGCAAAGCAGCAAAGAACCCGAGGAGCACCGGTGGTGGCGCAGAGGCCGAGGAGGAGGTGGCCCAGCAGCCACTGGCCAAGAAGGCAAGGGTGTCGGTGAGGGCACGGTGTGACACACCAACGGTACGTACATACGTCAACAACGTACTCCCTCCGTCCGTGAATAAGTATACTTCTACCTTTTGTCTTAAGTTAAAGTTTTATAATTTTGATCAACTTTTTAAAAAAGAATAGTAGCATATCTGACATCAAATTGGTATATTATGTAAGTACATTTCGAAACAAATCTAGTGATACTAATTTAGTGCCATAAATGCTGCTACTTTTTTCTATGAAATTGGTCAAAGTTTTAAAAACTTTGACTTAGGATAAAACCTAAATGTACACTTATTCGCGGACGGAGAGAGTACACAAGTGACTAGAAGATTAAATCTAATTGATCTCTTAGGTGATTGGGAAACTCGTATATATATGTGATTTGTGGTTTGTTGGTGTTCAGATGAACGATGGGTGCCAGTGGAGGAAGTATGGGCAGAAGATATCGAAGGGGAACCCATGTCCACGCGCCTACTACCGCTGCACCGTCGCAACAGGGTGCCCCGTCAGGAAACAGGTATGTATATTCACTGTCATACATCGCAAAACAACCCCCACACATGGTACCAAAGAATCTGCTGTGAAGTGTGTTTCGCAAACCAAACATGACGAAGAACTATACATGTGTTATTTCCGAACATCGCAATGCGACTTACTTAGCACTCCCTCTATTTGTAATTCTCGCACACTACTTGATCGTTGAAGAAGAAAAAATTTGACCGTTCAAAAAAAGTTGAGCTTATACTTGTGAGAGGTTGGTGCATTATACAGTTCCTATTAGAGACTCCATAACAAATATTTTCTCCGTCTCAAAATAAGTGTCTCAATTTTAGTATAATTTTGTGTACATGCATGGTCCCAAATCCGGCGACCAACCTAATTAAGCCACCATGTGCATGGTCCCAAATCCGGCGTCAAAACTCCATAAATCAAGCGATCGAGCACTGGCGCCACCAGGGAGGGAACTAGGGGATCAAGACTGGTGAGCACGGGGATCGGACTCGGAAATCGGAACCTGACCTGATCGCGAGGGCCAGGAGGTGGGCGCCTCTCCTGCCATGGCAACGGCGTCGCCGTCGGGCTCTTTCTAGTGGCGATGGGCGCACGGCTTCTCGATCGGCGGCCGGCAACGTCAACGATGCTGCTGGGGTTTAGGCTGACCGCATCGAAACAAACTGATCCCACATGGCCGATGGGGTTTTAGAAATGCTGAAGACTATGATGGGCTTTGGGTTGGGTCAGCGTCCCCACATGTGTGCTGTCTGCCCACTTGAACCACCAAATCCACTCAAAAATACAAAGACCCTAAAAAAATCTTCTTATTCTTTTACCTTTTACTCCCTCCGGTTCTTTTTACTCTGCATATAAGAATTGTCTGAAGTCTTTGATCATAATTATATGAGAAAATATCAACATCTACCATGCAAAAGTTATACAATATGAAAATTAAATCATGACACATCTACTGATATTGATTTCATATTGTGAATGATATTGATTTCATATTGTGAATGTTGGTATTTTTTCTATAAAGTTGGTCAAACTTTACGAGGCTTGACTTTAGACAAATCTTATATGCGAACTAAAAAGGACCGGAGTACTACAAAACCTACTGCAAGCATTACATGTCTTTCCATATAATGTCTAATCATCCACCATAGGTCTTCTCGATTCATATTCGAGTATCTAGCGAATCTATATATACTGTACATTTAGGGCTGTCGTATGACCGATGAACCTAATGCCAAAAATACATCCATGCTCAAAGTTCTCAAAAACATCTGAAATTGCCACTAACTAATAACAAAATTTTAAATATACCTTCACATTGAGAAATAAATATACAAAATTCAAATGTGTAAATGCGTGTGCACATATGTTCGCTTGGTGTAAAAAAAGACAATATTCTCTTTGGTAGCAGGGATTTGCACTTGAACTAATCAAGCTCTCAAGTAGTAACATTCTTGACTAATCAAAGATGCTTTAAAACTCGCGCTCGGCTTTCTTCAATCGCATGCACACACACTCCACACAGAATCCTTCCTCGCCATGGTGACCGACTGACCATTAACGTACAATTTCTTCCCCAGGTGCAGAGATGTGCGGAAGACATGTCGATCCTGATCACCACCTACGAGGGCGCGCACAACCACCCGCTCTCCGCCTCCGCAGCCGCCATGGCCTCCACCACCTCCGCCGCCGCGTCCATGCTCATGTCAGGCTCCTCCACCTCGCTCGGCTTCCCCTCCGCCGCCTCCAGCCTCCACGGCCACAGGTTCGGCCTCCCGGCGGCCAGCGACGCCTCCTCCAGCCAGATGGGTGGCCGGCCGTTCTTCCTCCCGACCGCCACCGGCGCGTCCATCAGCGCCACGCCGTCGTACCCCACCATCACCCTCGACCACACCTCGCAGGCCGCCTCGCAGCAGGCCTTCTCCCTCAGCAACAGCAACAGGTTCTCCTCCAGCTTCAGTGGCGCCCACGGCCACAGCAGCAGCGCTGGTAGGTACCCTTCCACGAGCTTCTCCTTCTCCGGCTCCGGCGCAAGCAACCTGCCCGGCTTCACCGCGTGGCCGGCCGGCGTTGGATCATACATGAGCTACGGATCGTCGTCCGCCGCGCTCTACAACGGCGCCGGCAAGAGCTCGTTCGAGGACGCGCTGAGCGGCATCAACGGAAGGCAGCAAGCCTCGGTGGCGTCCCTCTACCAGCCGGCGCAGGTGCAGCAGAGAGCGGCTCAGTTGAGCGGCGGCGGCACGGGCACGGCGGCGCCGATCGTGCCCACCGACACGATCGCCAAGGCGATCACGTCGGACCCGGGCTTCCACACGGCGCTCGCGGCCGCCATCACGTCGTACGTCGGCAAACCGGCTGCCGGAGGCGGCAAGGGGCTCGAGTGGGGGGAGCACCTCGGGCTGGGCCCGTCGAGTGCGGCGTGCTCGTCGGCGCTGCTGGCACGGTCGTCGTCGACGGGGGCGGCACCGAGCGGTTCTCCGCACGGCAAGAAGATGCCGTTCTTGCAGCCGTCGCTGGCACTCTCGGGCTCCACCACCAGTGCTACTGCTTCCACCCCACCTGTGAAAAGCAGGGAGCACACTAATTAGTTAGCTGAAGATTGTGAGTTGTGTTTATGGATTAATTTGATCATATGGTGTAGATATCTACTGACTGTAGCATATTGCTGACAATGTGTCGATTGATTCATCATTCACACCCTAAATACGCCCATTTTTGTGTTTGGGACAAGCTAATAGCAAACGTGGTTGTATTTTATATATGGGTCAGCAGAAGAAGTGTTGTGAACTGAAAATGATACTCCCTCCGTTCAGAATTACTTGTCGTAGAAATGGATGTATCTAGATGTATTTTAGTTCTAGATACATCCATTTCCGAGACAAGTAATTCCGAACGGAGGGAGTACATGATAGCGCAATAATTAGTCCGTTTCCCAAAGAAATAACAGGCAAAAATAACTAAATTCAGATCTCCATTACCTCCAGAAAAGAATATCTATGTACAATAGCTTTGATCCAGTTACATAACTACAAATTGCACGGTCATATGATGTGTGTACAGTATACAGACCAAGTGCATGCAAACCATTGTTCTGAACTTCTCTGATTTGTGAACAGCAGCAGCGTGTAGCCCCTGCCCATGCATGAAGTTGCCCAAGCACCGCCATATCCGCCTTGCGCCTGACCCAAATCCTCTTTGAAGGTGCTTACCATGGCTTCAAATGTCGAGAGAGCTGCCTGGGATTTTCACTTGGAGATGACCCTCATAAACCGGCTCACGGAGCTAAACGCGGCCATGACATTGGTCATCATCGAAGGCTCCTCTTCAGGTTGCTCGCTGGCGCCGCCACCGCCAAATATTATCTGCGGATTACAATGGTGTCACTAATCTATGCAAAGTGTCAATAACGGACAGCACTAGCACTTGATGTAGATACATGCAAATGGGTTTTCCAGAACGAGGTTCCCTAACTTGTACTATTAAAAATAATGGCTGGTCGTCTAGCTAGTAGGCCCAGGGTGACTTCTTGTTCTCTGTCTTGTATAGAGTGTCAGCTGTTTGACAGCTTAATGTGTGCGTGGTCAGACACACAATGTCACAATGATTCCTAGAATTTGAGGAATCAGTTGGCTCTTGGGTGCTTGCAGCTTCTATACACGGTCCAATAGCAGACTCGTTTTTTCGACAGTAGTGATTCAACTTACCAGGTACTAAAAGGAACACAAACACGGCATGGAGATGGACAAAAATCTAATCATGAAGATAAAATCAGTTATACAGTGTCTAACCTCAATATCTGTTGCATCAGGACGACTTGAAGATTCTCTGGCAAGCAAATACCGGTTGGGTCTTTTTGGATCATCATAAAACACTTTCCACTTTCTGAAACATGAATAACAGATATCTTTAGCCTATTATTTTACTGAACATTTATTTGGATTGTAAAAAAAGGCAACAAATATCGACACACTCAGGATAGCATCTGAAGATTGCACCGGTAGGCAGCGGCCTCATCGAGTAAACAGTGGTAAAAGTACTGCAAAATGGGTGATGGATGTTAGAAAAAGAAACAGGGAACACAGTGGACAAAAGAGGGAAGAAGATATGCACTAGTACTACCATGAAACCACTTAATGGATTACCATAAGTATTTTAATAAAATGAAATTTATACAGATGACCATCATTTATAGGTATAGTATATAGTGGACCATACTTCAGAGCATTTCAGTATGGTTTCATGAATGCATCACTAATTCACTATTCATATCTCTTTGACGGGATCTGTTTCTTTAACTTGGTACTTATTTATGTTATTGTAACTAGAAACAGTTACATATCGCGGTATAGAAGATGTTTCTCAGTCCATATCCATACTCTGATATCCACAATCAACAACTGTTTATATGTCGGAAAATACCAATAGTACACATAGAGGCAACAATGTACAGATGTTTCCGTTCACTTACCTTAAGAAATTTCTGCGTAGATTCCGAACATTATATCCCACTCCAACATCTCCACTAACAAGACGTGGGTTCCACATGACAAGAGGTCTTATCTTCAGTGGATTAAAACTGGAAGTTATTTCAAGATACCATATTGAGTGGAACATATATACAAATGATAATAGTGATGTACAGACTGTTGAACAAAATACAAGATGTGAACATAGATGGATGTGCTTGGGCAAATGAAAAATGCCATGCGATGGATATGCTAAGCTGATGTGCAAATGAATATAGATCCTACAAATATACATGCATGCAAAAATGACCTGTAAATACACATGCTGATCCTATCCTACCAACTTTGCTTGCGACACAAAAGACGGAATTCATTTTCCTTACTGTAAATTAATGCACATGTATCTGCCAACATTGAAAACTTGATCAGGCATAAGTTACATACGGGATCATCAGCGAGTTGAGATGCGATGCGTTCAACAGATTCAAGCATCTGGTGGTCAGGGATAATCATAACAACAACTCCGTCATCAGTATCAACTGGCTTTCGGTCGCTAAGACTGCCAATCAAGATAAGAGAATAGAAAGATTTTAGATCCACAAGAAATCTCATGGTAATCATCTTTTATGCCTTCAAGATAGAAGCAACTAATAACATCTAATTCTCTAAAGAAACTCAAATTGGTCCACATCTTGTCCTATCCTGTGAACCTGTCTAGTAAAATATGATACCCACGCCACGAATCATTTGGAGAGAATTTACTGGAAAGATCTTAGCAACAAAACTAATGTGCTTCACTGTAAATACTGCTGCATGTAACACGAATAGAAAAATGAACCATTACATATAACATATGCAAAAAATTTGAATACCACTGTGACTGCGCTACTGGAAGTAAGGTAATACCTAGCACACTTGAACTTTGCATCTTTCCACTGGTGCTTGAGAAGGGCAGCCACTCCAGCGTCAGGGAAGACGGCCTTAACTACCTGCGGTAGACAGACAGCAAGTTGAATGTAAAGAACATATACCCAAGGGACTTAAACGACAAGATTCACAATCAATGGGGGGCCTTCAAATCAGGGGCATCTCAGTCAGATAGAGATAAAAAAGGGAGGCAACTGGGCATTTAAAAATCTGTGTGGGTGATGAAGTTGGTCATGCAACTGCAGATGGATCAGACAGAGCAAAAGTTGCATTTATTTATCGCTAAATGACCTTGCATCCAAAGTCCAAACCTGGCCGGTCTCTTCCGCGAGTGTGTCGAGGAGTATCCTCGACAGCGCCCAGACCTCAGCCTGCGCTCCTTCCTGGTTGAGGAACTCCAACTGAGGGATCAGCAGCTCTGCCTACAGCAATGATGATAACACAAGAACAGATCATCAATGGTGAGAATGTGATAGGAGAATATAATGGTGGATGGAACTTGAACATTGAAACTGTTCCATTCCATGGCGTTCCAAGTAAAAAAAATGCAGAGATTTCACAGCAGGTTAAGTAAGGCTGAACCAAACTGTCAGACCAGTGTGTACATGGGCAATTGGAAACGTACAATTCCTCGCATGCCGCCGGAGTTGACGAAATCGGCGCTCGCCTTCCCCGACTGCCATATCGCGCCCTCCAGATCCGACGGCAGGCAACTGAAACCACAGAGACATCGAGAAACAACGCACGCTGTCAGTCAGACGCGCCGCAATCCAAAGCAACGCGGCGGCGTTTCCCCGAGCCGGAAGCGTGCCTGACCTGTCGTCCTCCAGCACCGCCTTCCCCGCCGCGCCGTCGGCCTCCGATGTCGCCGGCGCAGTCGGCCCGGCCTCCGTGGGAGCGTCGGCGGCGTCGAACTTGCCGAACTTGGCTTGGGCCGGGGTAGGCCCGCGGCGGACGCGCAGCCGCACCGCAGGGGAGGCTGCGACGGCGACGGGCGAAGGCGCGAGGAGCTGGCGGGGGAGAGGATGGGAGGGGCGCGCGTACTGCCGCGAGAGCAGCGCCGGCGAGGTCGCCATTGCTTCGTGCGGCGCAGGGGAGAAGCAGCACGTGGCCGAGCTGTGACTGGCTGCTCCCCCGTGCTGCGTGGATAACGGTGGGTTTGCTTCGGAAACGGGATCGCCGTCCGATGGAGAACTGAACGCTCCAGATTGTTTGGAATGGTTTAGTCCCGTGAAAGTGTGAGGTGTATGGTTTAGCTTTGGGGTGTGGATAGGTGTCAGTGGATTTAACCAAGTCTCGATCAAGTCGCATAACATAAAGAAATAAAATAATTTTTTTTATAGGAATCTCAATGTAAGATCTCACAAGTATGGCATCAACCGAGACATAACCAAGTCTCAATCGACTGAGATTCAGAAAGACTGTTAGACTATAGATTCTGTTTGGCATTTGTCAATCAATTTGCGTTTCAGCCGATTCTTGCATGCCCGCTATTGCCCTACGACCTTCGTCGACCCGAGCTCCCCATTACTGGCTAAACCGCCATCCTGCCATATCTGAGCCGCCACTGCCCTAGCCGTCACTCTAAACATCCCCTCCCCCCTCTACGGGCGCCCGCACCGGTCAACCTCCACCTCAGCTTTGCCAACGACCCCATGATCGGCCGTGTCATCCCTATACCCCGGTGACCCCAACCCCCTCCATCACAAGCACACACACCGATCAACCTCCGCCTCGGCTTTGCCAGCGCGGTGACCCCAACCCCCTCCACCAGAAGCACACACACCGGTCAACCTCCAACTCGGCTTTGCCAGCGACCCCATGGTCGACCGTGTCATCCCCATCTCCGGTGACCCCAACCCCCTCCACCACAAGCACACACACCGATCAACCTCTGCCTTGGCTTTGCCAGTGACTCCATTATCAGCCATGTAATCCCCATCTCCGACTCATTTCTCGGGTCGCCCTTACCATGATCAGCCGTGTAATCCCCATCTCCGAGTCATTTCTCGGGTCGCCCTTACCGACGATGACACAACCGCCCATGTCATCCCCGCCCCCAGCTCCAGCTCCACCTACCAAAATCAACTTACAGGCCTCTCATTTTCAGGCAACTAGAGAATATCAAATGCATTATCATAATCCTATTTGTTGAACCGACTTTTTGTGTATTTTGGTGTTCGTTTGTTCCCTTTTTTTACTACTTTTGCGGCTGATTTTCGACATCAGATTACAAAAATAAGCACTTCGCAAACTGAGAGGCGTAGTGTGCACTCGTCTACTCCCTCTGTCCCGTAATATAAGATGTTTTTTAACACTACACTAGTGCCAAGAAACGTCTTACCTTATGGGACGGAGGGAGTAGCTTATAATCAGAATGAGAAAGAAGTATATCTATCTTCACATGATTATCTTTAAAAATTCTACTGAGCAGTTACAACTTACAAGCCCCATTGGAATCTTGATACACACTGAACTGAACTGTATTACAAATTGTAGCCATTCATTCTGAGTATATCTGTGAACCTGTGGTATTGTCCATCCGGCCATTTCCGGATGCAGGAGAACCAAAGATGCATGGTAATATCACACCCTGGCACTATATTTCTAGTTCAGTTGTTGCAGGCAGTTGCTGTGCTCTGCATTTCCTTGCTGGTCGCAAACGACTTGCCGCACCCGCACGTCTTCGTCGCGTTTGGGTTCTGGAAGTTGAAGCCGCCCCCGATGAGAGCGTCGCTGTAGTCCAGCTCCATTCCAAACATGAAGAGAAGGCTCTTTGGGTCACAGACTGCAGGCGCACAAAATATATTGTCTCGTTAGAGTTCCGGTAGACCAGGTGGGTTTGGCCTGAATAAACAGAATGGGTTGTCACATGTACTTGTGATCAACAGCCTGTGGACTATTTCAAGCCTTCCAAGGATTTATTTGGAATGCAAAAGTGTTACTCTAATCTCGAGCACAAATGCAAATCCATGTCCTCTCAAACGAATATACAGTCAAGGCAAAGCAGTTACCTATTGTGAAACCCTCATACTCGATGACTGAATCGTCAGGGTTGGCGCTTCCTCGGCTCTCAAACTCCATGGTGTAAGACATGCCAGAACATCCACCTTGTTTAACTCCAATCCTCAAACAGAGATCTTCATTCTTTTCGGCCCTCATTCTGTTCAGATGCTTCAGGGCCTTCTCTGTCAATGAGATGGCTGGTGCAATGCTACCAGGCGTTGCTGTTGCAGCTGCTGCAAAGTATGGTAAACGATTTTACTATGTTAATGCTGAACAAAACTTGTCTGAAATTCTTTCTAATTCTGCAGCATTTGCATGAAGCATCTAAAATCCCGAAAATCGTAGGATATATCTGACTATCTTGTAGCCATTAAATCTTCAGTGTTTCCTCAACTATTCCCTTGCTCATGCAAGACAGATGAACCGATGAGTGATGTAGGATGACTGGAAGGACCAGGTTATTGAAGCCAACTAAAATAATCTTGTTCATCAGTTGTGACACATTTCTAAAAATATATAAGTTTACAAGGAAAGAACTTATAAAGACAACATCTTTGCTTAATCCCCTTGGATGGATAGGGATAATGCAACCAAGGCCTAAGTACCTAACTACTCCAGATAGATACAGATAGCTAGACATATGCATACGGCATACCAGATACAGCATATAACGATCAAACAGATGTATATAATTACACTATTACCTATATAAAGATTTTATCTGGTACAAACAAACTCCAGAATAGCACAGAGAAGAAAACAGAAACATGCCACACACGTAACGTAACTGCTTTCCCACCTGATAGGCTGACACTGCAACCAGAAATAGGATTGTCCAGGAGCATGTCTCTGCTTTACCCATGTTATCTAAACTGTTTAATATTAGGGGCAGTGGACGGAAGATCTACAATTAGGATGGGGTCGCTCTGATTACAAGCCTAGTGGGGACAACCACCAACAATACATGGACAAATTTGCCACACACGGTACTGAGCAGGCAACCAGCAGCTCACTCAGGCAATACAGGCCAGGCAACGCCATCAACTACGCGTTCAGCAAACTCCAATCGAGACAATTTTCAGCCGCCTGAATCAAGATAACGAGGCGCACCACCGCTACATCAAGGTCAGCCCCTATGGCCATCGCTGCATACTGTATTTCTCACGGCAGGCAGCTACGCATCATCAATCCGGCTTCATTTTACCGGCTCTCGCAAATCACAAGAACAAAAGAGGCCCGGCAAAGGGATTCGATCCGAATCCTTCCAGCCCAAAACGATCCTACGTATTTCAATTTAAAAATATGCGCGGAGGAGAACGTCTAACATCTGGTTTGACCACGGACCTGGCGGCGCGGAGGCGCGGAGGGAGACGGCGCGGGAGTCCCCGCTGCGGGCGGCGAATCGGACGGAGGACGCGGGCGCGGAGGGCGAGGGGGAGACGGCGAGGTGGGGCCGCGCCGTGCCGGGGAGGCGGCCGAGGAGCGGGCGGGCCGTGGTGCCGGATGCGAGCGCCATGATTGGAAATCGGGTGGGGCTGGGGAGAGAGAGAGGGAGGGGGAAAGCAACGACGACGGCGAGAGAGAGAGGGAGGGAGCGAGGAAAGATCCTGTGGCTGGCGGGCCGCCCCGATTTCGGTGGCTTGTGGGCTCGGGGCTCTCTGCGGTCCACAATTATGTATATTTTCGAGATGGACTTTTACTAACTTAATTTGAACAGTTCTAAAAAAAACTAACTTCATTTAAACAGAATTATACAGTTGATTCACTATTTTTGTAGCAACCATTTGACTTTATTATTGATTAATAAAAATGCTATAATGTCCCGACAAGAATGGTAACCATGGATTGAAGCAACTTAAGTAAACAAAGAACAGCAAAAAGTTGCATCAAACTAAAAATTACACCAAGATCCCTTTGCTCTGGTTCCTTTGCTCTGGTTGTCAATTCGTTGCAGGGCGGCTGGAGACTCGGAGCTCTTGTTGTGCCGATTTCCTGCAATCTTGCATGTGTTGTTTCTTCTCTCAACTACATCCTCTTCAATCCCATCACGTTTCCTCCATCTGGATCTGACCTAGCAACATCGCCATCTCCCGAAACTGAATTCACAAGTGCTGCCTCCACGCCCACCCACCTTTCTCAACAACGCTAGGTGCATCAAATTCTTTCTGCTAAATTGGCAGTGCCACGGCGGTGCTGGCTGAATCTATGACAGATGAGGTGCAGAAGACAAAGGGCGACGGAGAGGAGGAACCAAAGACGGATAACTTTTGAACTGTAAAAAAGAAGGAAGTTTGATTGTACTTGAAGACGCATAATGGAAAGGCAAAAGGGCACAATGGAAGTGTCAGGCGGACGAGACATTGTGCGCTGGAGGTCACCAAGTCGGCGCAACCTCCACCTTCTCGGCTAGCGCTTTCTCTACCTGTGGCGATCCCAAGTGTCATCGCCTACATCTTTGGGTTAATACGGACCATCAGTTAGTGCTGATGATGTGCTCTAGAGGAGCCTACGCAACACCAATGCTGTCAGAGGCAACGCCATGAGAAAGATCATGCAGAATGCAGATGTACGGGAGGCGCTCCAGTGCCACCTTGGCAAACCGATGACCTCCTGTTATAGTTTACGGTCCTTGAGTTCTACACTTGCAGTTGCAAGTGCCACATCACAACAACAATCACCAGTGTAAGTGCAGACTAAGAGACATGCTTATTATCTTTTTATTGTGAACTTTCAGTTATGGAATGAAAAGAAATTCTTGCAGGTTGAGGTGCTTTGCAGAAATTGTTTTAGAAACAGAGGACGTATCAACTTTGATCTTTGGAATGAGATACTATAGCATTATGATCAAATCTAGCTTAAAACTCTTGTGTTATCCAACTAAACTTGTGTCTTGTACGTGTCGGAAGATGAAGCCTAACTCCACCAATTGGTTAGCACTATATATTGTTCACTTGCTAATGTCAAGCGTATGTGTGCTATCTTTGGCCAATCCAATTAAAATAAATTTTCAGTGATTTTTCAAGTGATGGCTAGCTAGAGCACTACCATGAGCAAATATTAAGTTTGTTCTTTGTGTGATAGCAAGATCCTCTGTACCAACTGCAGTTTTAGTATTCTCGATAATTTATAGATCTGTCATGCTAGGTATGTTGTCGAATGGCTTTAAAAATAAGTTTGTGTTCTTTCAGCACAGTTCATTAATATAATTTTCAGTGAGCTCACTTTTTTTACCAGTTTTGTGTTATAGCAGACATATATCATAGCAATAAATGGTAGCACTAGGGAAACAAAGAGGTTCAGAAGATTAATTTTCCATCATGAATATGACTTAATAAATACACCGCAAAATATATTTTATCAATGGAAGATAGAATGTCCAAATTCCATTGTCACATATTCCACAAATGTACCGTACGTGCTAAGGCTAGCATATGTAGTTCTTGATGGTGTCTGCTATCAATAGTTACAGATGAGCATTCTGTGACCAAAGGAAATGAAGCAAACTGATTGTCTTTGACCAATAGGCATTATAATTGTTTGATTTGTTGTGTTTGCTGATATATTTATTTTTCTATTCAGTCATACATGATGTGTGCAGGATTGTTGTTGCTCATCTCTGTAGTAGCCGTTTAGCTCTATATCGCTTTTAACTAAACTGTAGTATTATTTAGAATTCAGTGTTCTTCACCTAATACTCCCTCCGTTCCTTTATATAAGGTGTATTTCTTTTTTGAAAAGTCAAACGAGTGCAAGTTTGACCGAGTTTTTAGAAAAATTTATCAACATTCACAATAAGAAATTTATATCATTTGATTCATCATGAAAATTAGTTTCATATTTTATCTACTAGGTAATGCAGATGTTGTTATTTTATTCTATAAGCTTGGTCAAACATTCAAATGGTTGACTTGCACGGAAACCAATACACCTTATATTCTGGAACGGAGGGAGTAGTTCATTGCTGATAGACAAAGGGTTTTGGGGTTATGGGCGTCGACACTTGAGAGGGTCGGCCACGATAACATATATAACGAGGGGGTACCTCATCAGGTACAGATACATTGTACAGAGATTACAATACGTACAAGTCTACAAGTCTAACACCCTCCCTCAATCTTAACCGTGATCTGAAGAATTCAGAAGATTAAGATTACGACGACATCCCTCAAACTGAGGTAGTGGCAACGGCTTCGTGAAGATGTCAACAAGTTGATCCTTCGATGGGATAAACTTGATCTGAAGCAACTTCTGTGAAACTCGTTCTCTGACAAAGTGATAGTCAACTTCGATGTGTTTCGTTCGGGCATGAAATACCGGATTCAAAGAAAGGTATGTAGCGCCGATGTTGTCACACCAAAGAACAGGTGGATGATGATGAGAGACTCTTAACTCACGAAGCAAGGACTGAACCCAGATAAGTTCAGCGGTGGCATTGGCAACTGCTTTGTATTCAACTTCAGCTACTACGAGACATTGTAGCTTGTTTACGAGCACTCCAGGCGATCAAATTAGGACCATAGAACACTGCATATCCCCCCGTGGATCGCCTGTCATCTGACCTACCAGCCCAATCTGCATTAGAAAATGCCGAGAGGGCACCGGAAGGAGCAGACCGAAGATGCAGGCCCAGAGCAGCAGTCAAGCGAACATAGCGCAGAATATGCTTCACAGCAGTCCAGTGAGTATCCCGAGAAGCATGAAGAAACTGGCACACGCTGTTCACCGCATAAGATATATCAGGACGAGTAATCGTCAAATACTGTAAGCTGCCAACAATACTGCGATACGTTGTAGCCTCATCCGAAGGAAGAAGGGTACCATCAAGTGCAGAGAGTCTATTAGAAGCTGTCATGGGAGTGGTAGCAGGCTTACACTGAAGCATACCAGCACGACGAAGCAAATCTAGAGAGTACTTCTGCTGAGTGAGATTCAGACCGGCATCAGAATGAGAGACCTCCAAGCCAAGGAAAAAATGAAGCCGGCCAAGATTTGTAATGGCAAAATCACCACTCAAAGCAGAAACAAGACGATCCGCAGCAAGAGCCGACGAGCTGATCAATATGATGTCATCGACATACACCAACAGGTACATAGTGACCGTAGGGCGTTGTAGCATGAACAAGGACGTATCAGCTGTCGAAGGAACAAATCCATGTGCACGGAGAGCAGAAGCTAGATGCGCATGCCAAGCACGTGGCGTCTGTTTAAGACCATAAAGAGCCTTTACCAAGCGACACAAAATGGTGCGGACAAGTAGGATCAACAAAACCAGGCGGCTGACGCATATAGACCTCTTCATCAAGAACACCATGCAGAAAAGCATTCTGAACAACGAGCTGTCGAAGAGACCATCCACGAGTAACCGCAAGAGATAAGAGCAGACGAATAGTCGTATGCTTGATCACAGGACTGAAGATATCATCATAATCAAGACCTTGACGTTGTTTGAACCCACGAGCAACAAGCCGAGCCTTATACCGTTCAATAGAGCCATCAGCATGTCGCTTAACTTTGAATACCCACTTAGAATCAATAATATTGACACCACTATGCGGAGGAACAAGACGCCACGTACCATTTTTTAGCAATGCCTGATACTCTTGTTCCATTGCAGAGAGCCAGTGAGGAATACCCAGAGCTGCTTGATAATGACGGGGTTCAGCAGAAGGATCAGTTGCAGAATGAGCTATACAGGCCGCGAGCCAGGCAACCGTGCTATTGGTGCGTTGGAGCAGTCGAAAAATACCACTCTTGTTGCGAGTGTGTGGATGCTGAGCAACCGGAGCGGTTGGCGCGATCGAAGTCACAGGAACCGTCGATGGAGAGGCCCTCATCTCCTGAGAACAAGACATGGCGGGTGATGATGACCGCGATGATGACGGGCTGCCAAGAGGCGAGCTAGTAGGCGCGGGCGTCGCCGGACCAGGTGACCCAGGCGAGTCCGTAGGCGCGGGCGTCGCCGGACCGGTCGATGCAGGCGAGACCGCCCGGTCACGGGCGAGGCCAAGCCAGGCGACGCGGGGAGGTCCATCTCCAGCCGAGCCGGGGCCGAGCGCATAGCGGGCGTGAGCACACCCGACCCTGCATGGCCCATGCAGGGGGAAGAGGGCGCGGGACCGATGTGATCCGTCGAGCGCGAACCCGCTGCTACCGGAGCCGGATCCATGCGCATGGCGGGCACAGATGCAGGAGACCCTGCATGCCCCATGCAAGAGGTCGCAGTGGCAGAATCGACATGATCCGTTGAAGAAGCCGTCGGAGCAGCGGAGGAATCCTCCAGGAGAACAAGCCGAGCACCTCTACCAGTTCCTGCACCATGGTTAGACAACAAAAGAGGCGAGTGTGCAACATCTACAAATTGATCAGGCAATAAAGGAGATGAATGCATGGGTTCATTAGGTGTGGTGACAGGAGTTGGAAGATTAGGAAAAGGAAAAACATGCTCATCAAAGACAACATCACACGAAATATACACACGATTTGTTGGAACGTGAAGGCATTTATAACCTTTGTGCA